TCAAAAGAGAAAATAAAGGAAATATGTTTTGTAGAAAGTAAGAGTTCGCAGAAAGAAAGAAAGAAAGAAAGAAAGAAAGAAAAAAAAGAAAGAAAGAAAAAGAAAGAAAGGAAAATGTTTTGTAGAATGGAAAAATAAAGAAAGAAATAAAGTAGTTCGTTGAAAGAAAGAAGGAAAGATATAAAGCATCATGTGTTTTAAAAGAAAGAAAGAAAGAAAGAAAGAAAGAAAGAAAAAAGAATGAAAGAAAGCAGGTCGTAGAAAGTAAGAAGAAACGATAGAAAAGATATTTTGTAGAAAGAAAAAGTACCAAATGAGTTCTTAGAAAGAAAGTAAGAAATGTGTTTAAAAGAGATAAAAAGAATATATCTTTTGTAGAAATAAGAGTTCACATAAAGAAAGAAAGAAAGAAAGAAAGAAAGAAAGAAAGAAAGAAAAAGGAATGAAAGAATGAAAAGAAAATGGTTAGTAGAAAGGAAAAATAAAGACACACAGAAAAAAAAACAAAGAAAAGATTTCACAGAAAGAATGAACGGTAAAATGGCGCGATGGAGAAAGGAATAATGATATGTAAAAATAAAAGAAAATGTCATTTACAAATAATAAGAAAGAAAAATAAAGAAGTCTTCTGTATTAGATGAGATTTGAGACGTCGGAAAAAGATATAATGATAACAAAGAAGAAACATGGCGTGTATAAAGAAAGAAAGAATGAAAGAAAGAATGAAATAAAACAGTTTATAGAAAGAAAGACATAAAAATAAAAGTGACAAAAAAAGAAAGGAAATAGAAAGGGACAGACATAAACGGTGCGTGAAAAGAAAGAAAGAAAAAAAAGAAAGAAAGAATAAAATTCTGTGTGGAGAAAAGAAAGCATATTCGGTAAAACAACCAATCAAAAACAATGATAAAGAATGGTAACGAAAGCAGGCCTCCGAATTACATGAGGTTAGAGAGTGCTGCAAACGTTGTCATAGCCAGTTAAAAATGGCCAAGTTGAAGTTTTGTTATTCGAAGCACGCATTTAAACATTAAACTAAAAACTAAAAACTAAAAAGTCAATCGACATGTTCTGAAGAGCTGGCGTAACGACCAAAGGGGAGTTCCTGTCTCCTAACCGAAGAACTACATACATTTCTCAAGTGGTCCCAATCTTAATTTTATTAGATCGTGTCGAATAAATTATTGGAGTCTAAGGACGGCCACCCGACATCCGCAGGGTGCAATGTAATTTGATATCTAGGGATGGAGGGGATTGTTCTTGATAGTTTAGTTTAAGTATTCAAATTTTAAAGAAAACAAATTCAGTTGTAAACGCATTAGATTAAACTACGACAAGTAAAATAAACAAAACTTATATAACGAGCGTACGACGATGTGGCATGGCTTTGAGCAAGAAAATAACAAGGAACAAATGAGAAAAGAAATCAAGAAAAGTATTGAAAAGAAGTAAAATGTGAAGGGAAGCACATAAATGGCATGAAGTTGGCTTGAAATGAAAAGAGGCGATGCGAGAGGAGCCAAAAAAATTATTTAAATAATAAAATTTAAAACAAACGAAGTTAAAAAATGGATGTAAATACGATTAAGAAAAAGAAAGAAAGAAAGAACGGAAAAGAAAGAAAACAACGTGGGGACGAAAAAGAAAGAAACAAAGAAACAAAGAAAGAAAGAAATATTATTCAAGTCACATTTCAGCTTCCTGCGGCTGGAACGTTATTTCACTTGGATGTGAATATTACGTTCTTTTCAAGTGTCCTTGTGACAGACTAAAGATCTATCTATCTATCTAACAATTTCTCTCTCGAGATATATATATATATATATATATATATATATATATATATATATATGTGTGTGTGTGTGTGTGTGTATGTATGTATGTATATATATATATGTGAAAAGAGTGTGTATATGGATATAGATGGATATGTGTATGTGTGGATATGTGGATATATTTATATATGTGTGTACATGGGTATATGTATGTGTGTATGTGGGTACAGGCCTATGTGTATGTATATACGTGTATATTTTATTGTGTATGTGCGTATTCGCATGTGTTTTTGAACATAAAAATATAGGTCCTTGCTAGATTAGATAATCGTTATATTTATTTTTTATATGTTTATATTTGATTTGTAACCTGTAGTCGATATTAAATTTGTCAAATTTTCTCAATTACACAGCGGCCCTTTCAGTAAAGGTAGTTCAATTTTCCTTTCCTTCGCCCCATCTCTCTCCCCCACCTCGTCTTACCCTCCCTCTTATTCTTATCTTCAACATTAAATCGTCTATGGTGTGTATATGTCACCACGAAATGAATCTTTATGCATTAGACATCCGACAACATTCATATTTCTCTTACTTAAACCCCTTCCACTCACCTCCCCTAAAATTCTCTCTGTTAAGGTTTAACCTCCTTCCTTCTCTAGTATGTTACCCCTCTTACTTACACTTTCTAAATTCTGTTTTTATTTCCGGAGTTGTTTTTTCTGTTTTCTTTTTTAATTGGTAGGTCTGATGAATTGGATCGTATTTATGATTCCAATGGAATAAATTATGACCATGGAATATTAGTGTTTAAGCCTTTTTATTATGTCCTTACTCTGTCCTGGACATTGAGTTCTACCTGGATTCGTGGATTCTATCTTCTCGGAATTTTTTATCAAAAAATATACATAAATGTGTATGCACCTATTTATATATATATATATATATATATATATATATATATATATATATATATATATGTATATGTTTACCACTAATACAATCTATCTATCTATCTATCTATCTATATATATATATATATATATATCGGTATGTATGTGTGTGTGTGTGAAATTTTTTATATATATTATGTATCCGATATATATATATATATATATATATATATATGTGTGTGTGTGTGTGTGTGTGTGTGTGTGGAATTTTATATATATATATATATTATGTATCCGAGATACTTATTAGGAAGAGCTCAATATTAATTATAGAGCTAATCTTTTTCGTTGGATTAATGTGAGTTTGTCAGCCTGGGTTTCACGCTGACGATCGCAAAGGCGTGAGACTCAGAGTTACAAACTCACATCAATCTAACTAAACACACACACACACACATATATATATATATATATATATATATATATATATATATATATTATTGTTATTATTTAATTTTTAGATTATATATATTTATGTATGAAAAATTCACCCTAGTGAATATACATCATTTGTAGTGTTAAACTTTAAGAACATACATATCAAAACCATATCTTCAATGGTATTTCACCCCATAAGTGATTAAGTAAAACACCCAAAACCTTGCACCCATATAGAAACACGCACACACAGAGAGACACACACATATACACACGCACATATATAAAGAGAGAGAAAGAGATATGTGTATGGACTAGTGTCAGATTAGGTGTTGCATATATATGTGCATCGTAGTGGGGGTTTTCCACATTATTTAAAGGAATTAATTTTTTCTTGCGTTGATTTTTTCTTAACTATTGTCTTTTGTCTGGAGTATTAACCCCAAAATCTACTTGGACTGGTGGAAGAGTGTCCTTTTCCTTTAGGGATAATAAATCCATTAAGATTAGTCAGAAAAAAGAGAAGGGATGGGGTTTTGGTCTTTATCTTTTATATCCGAGGAAGCATTTTAAACCTTCACCCATTCTTGTATATTGTATCTGTTTGCTAGCGTGTCTATATATACAGTTGAAGGTATAAATGATTCCCAGGACAAAAAAGGACATGACAAGGTTATATATATATATATATATATATATATATATATATATATATATATATATATATATATAGTTTTATTACAAGGAAATATTATATATAGGCACACTTTGTAAGGTGTGTAGGAGTCATGTTTGTGTGTGTGTGTGTGTGTGTGTGTGTGTGTGTGTGTGCTTGATCAGGGGTATATCTGAGTGTTTTCTGTGTAGTGAGTTCTCTCTATCTATCTATCTATCTATCTATCTATCTATCTATATATATATATATATATATATTATCATGAAGAAATCTCTATAGTAACTACATGTATTTTTATAGTGTGTGCGTGTGTGCGTGTGCGCGTGTGTTTGTTGAATGTCTAGTTTATTTTGCTGCTATGTGTATATGGCGTGTGTTTATGCGTTTGGACTTATAATGTTTTTAGTGCTGTTTAAAATTTCTCTATGAAGTTCTTTTCTTGTATTTGTATGTAACAGTAAATTTCCTGTATTATATATTAGCATGATTGTGAAGTTACCTTCAATGCGTTTGTGTGTGTTTTTTGACACAAAGTGTTTTCTGTTCTGTGTTAATTTAGTATATTTTTGTGTAGGAAAACTCTGTTGTTTAGTTTTTCGAGTTATACCTATATAGGATTTATTACATTTTGTTCACCTGAGTGTATAAATCACATTTTCTGGAGTTTAAGTTTTAGTTTTGCTTTATTGTGAATGTTTTGGCGTTTTCAAATGTTGAGGATTTTCCTTCTACAATGCTATCACAAACCCCACATATTCTCAAGTTGCACTTTGTGACACCTTGTATTGTATGTTGGTTAAATTTGAGTAAGGTTAATATGTGTTTTAGTTATTTTGATTGGCGTTTGGTTATTATTATTTTGGTTGATTTATTATATCTTTCATTGTATCATTCTTGTTAAGTAGGTCGCCAAAGACAATGGTTAAAAATCAGCATAAATAAAATAATTCCTTTAAACAATGTGGAAATAAACATTCTTCGATCGTTGAAATTCACAAGACCCGAAAAATGTGTGGCAAGAAATAAAGAAAATAAAATACAATATATCAAAAATCCATATTATGACCAAAAATGTTTTCAGCGTCTCTTGTCTTTAAAACATCTATCTATCTATCTATCTATCTATCTATCTATATATATATATATATATATATATATATATATATATTTATATATCTTTCTCTCTCTCTACACACACACACACATACACACACACACACACACATATATATATATATATATCAATCTATCTCTTTCTCTCTCTTTTCCTCTCTCTCTCTCTATATATATATATATATATATATATATATATATATAGAGAGAGAGAGACAGAAACAGTGAGAGAGAGAGATCTAATGAATAGATATGTATATATATGTGTGCGTGTATGTGTGTGTGTGTGTAGAGAGAAATATATATATATATATATATATATATATATATATATATATATATATATATATATATAGATACCTCCTAAAGAGTGCAAGAACGAGTCTGTCTCTCTGTTATAATTTAAAGTATGAAAATTTGAGTAACTACATATCCTGCGTAAACGACATTAAATAGGCTTTGAACAAAAATGTTTTTACTTCTCCAAATATGCACAAGCTATTGCAGATGAGGTAGAATTTATAACCGATTTCACAGCGCTTCACAAATGCTCAATATGCCCACCACCTATAGCACAAGAAACATTATCGGTACTCAAGCTCCAGCCAAACACGCTGTAGCATGTCTTGTGTAACATTCTCCAACGCCGCATTAATTCTCTGCTTAAGTTCTTTTATGCACGTAGGAAGATGCAGGATATAGACATGGCATTTTCACATAGCCCCATAGAAAAAAAATAATGCCATGATCATTTCAACAGGAAAAAATGTCCTTATCACTGGTACGCACCTTTCATCTTAGTGGGAGATTTTTAATGATATGTCATCTTTGTCTTATGGTATTTCGTGAAAAATTTAAGATCATTTGATAGAAAATCGAAAAACATCGTATATATGTTCAAATTACTCAAATAAAGACAAAAAGAAGACACGATTTTCGTCTTCTGATGGACTTTATCAAGGCTTTGAACCAAAGGTTTTCCTTTTATATTATTCTTCTTCATTTCAAAACAAGTAAGGCAATAATGCCACTAAGACTCAAGGGGATTACTGATAGTGAATAAGAATGAGAAGACATTATTGACATGTACCTGATATTTTCATTTGGTCCTAGATATAACGTTACTTATAAATGTTTAAGAAACACTGATGTAGATACAGATAGAAAAGATTATGAGACGACCATAACTCTGATCCCCGGACATATTTAAAAAAAAGAACAGTAAGCGAACTGCAAAATCCAACAGGATTTATTATTAATATATAAAACATTAAGATCATGAGACACATATTTGGTGATAAATTGATGGTGGACACTGAAAGGAAAAATGCAGGAAACTCCTACAGGATTATTACCTCATGACTAAACGCATGCTGGAGTAAGGGTTAGAAGGGATAACAAAAAGAAATATTAAGGAAATTGTGGAGAACAATGATCGCTATTGCCCTGAAGGGGCACAGCATATAAAAGAAGAATGTAAATCGCCGAAGAGAAGCAGAAGAATAATATGAAAATGGGGAGGGTTTTAGTTTTAGAAAAGAAAGAATAAGGTAGATCAACAAATAGATGAAAAAGAAGTCGGAGAGCGAGCGGAAGAAACAAAGATAAGAAAGAAAACTGAAAAGAAAAACTTCAAAAAGATTTACAGATGTGAAGTTAAAATAAAATAAAGAGGAAGAAGATGTCGTGGAAGTAAGTAAAGGAATAAGTGGTGGACAGAATATAAGAAGACATCAAAAGAAAAAGACGAGGAAAAGGATAACAGATTGAGAAAAGAAAGAAGAATGTAGAAAATAAAGAGGAAGAAAGGAAGATGTTTGATGGGTTAAAAAAGGAAGAGGGTTGATTGAATCTTAGAAGATAAATAAGAAGATAAGAATTATTTTAGAATTAGAAAAATGAAGAAGAATGTAAATGGCCGAAGTGAGGCAAAAGAATAATATTAAAGAGGTGGGGTTAGGTTTAGAAAAAGAACAAATAATATAGATCAACAAGTAGATGAAAATGAAGTCGGAGAGCGAGCAGAAGAAACAAAAATGTTTGTAGGTGGGCAAACTTAGATGAAAACGTTGGGCAAATGATGTGATCATTTTGAATGAATACAAAAGTACAAAGAATTGTAGGTTTAAAAAAAAGAAAGTAATTAGGTAGACAAGAGAGAGAAGAAACATAAGAAGATGGAGAGAATGTGGGGGGAAAGATCTTCGGACTAGAAGAGATTAAAAAAAGAAAGAGAAGTTACATTTTAGAAGGAAGAGAGAATGATCGGAGGAGTAGAAATGGATGATGAAGAGTAGAAGGATTGTATGCTCAGAAAAGGAAAACAAAGAGGAAGAAGAAAGCGGAAAAGACTTATTGTCTTCATATCATATATTTACAGCGTGCCCTGAAGTTTGAACGCATAGGTAAAAATGAATATTATCAAGAAATTAAATTTTCAACACTTTTTGCATTGGAATATTAGCAAATAACAGCTTCAGTAGTGTTCCCATAAAATGTGATCAAAAGGTTGGTGTACTTTCAAAGTTTCTCGTGAACTCGATGCAATAACTCAACATTGCCGTTAATTTTATCACATTCACTCTATATGCGTTCAATCTGTGGTTTAAATTGAGTACACCTTCTCCTTTACCATACCCTAGAAAAAACTTGTCAATTCTTTCTTCTTTCGACAAAAGTATGCTTAAAATGTGGAGGTAAAAAAATATGGTTAATGCGATACACTTTGTCCAGATTTCGGGAACACCTTTTCTCTTGAAAAGAGCAGACTGGTATGCGAAATAAGCAGTTTTATAAACTGTGCGTTCTATTCAAATACGAGTGCCTATTACAAATAAGGGTCGAGTAACAAAAAAATGTCGGACTAAATGAAAATTCCTTAATTTGATAGAAATTTTTTGTTTAGGTTTCGTATATGAAACTAAGCATATATGTCTTTCGAGAAAAAAACAAATTTAAAGAATCTTGCTACGTTGGGAAGATCTACATGGTCGATGTCGTTAAAGCACAACAGATCAGTAATAAAGACAAAATATATAGCTCTCATTAAGCGAACAAAATCCATTAGTAGCTGCGAATCGGAATTGTTAAAATAAAGATGTACAGACATTTATATATTTGCCCAGTCCTCACTTGCCCTTGATAGATGTCACCATCGTCTATGCGGCCTTGTGGGTGATAAACTATGTTGTACCCTACAACCCCTTCCCCACAAACAAAACGCCACACGCCTAGCGCTATTCTATCGCTGTTCCCATCTCAAGTGTTCTGACGAGATTTGCAGCTAAAACATGTCATACCACGTACATGGGGAGGAATCATAGTCATTCTTTTTCGTATTCCATTAGTAAGGAGCAAGTTCCATTTTGTACAGCTTCTTATAAAGTACCGCGGTTTGGTTTAACAGATTATCGATGTCTTCCCGAACTCTACACGGATTTTTGCGTTCCAATTCCAGTTGGGTTCGTTATATTCAAATATGCGCAAACACCCTTTGAAAAGCTACGAATGCAACTTTTCAGCTAGCTACAGATTAATTTGTAAGTAACACTAAAACATTATTATCTCCAAAATAACTTACAATCTAAAACATGTTCTGGCATTAAATAACGTCCAATGAGTTGATAAACCATAAAAAAAGAATAGCTCAATTTTCGTTATCTTACGTAAAACCTGTTCTTCCATCCATTTGAACAATGTTGTTAGGTAAGTTATGTGCTGCTCTTCTTAGAAAATCTTGGCTTCACTATGTCCTGCGCGTGTCACATTTTCCAAGCCGTCTTTTCTCATTATGTGGCATAGAAATTTATACTGTCGCTTCCTGATGCCATGAATATATATAAGTAAAATTTGTATCACTATACCATTATTATAAAATAAATCTAAATATATATTGTAAATTTAAATAACCACTAAGCAGTAAAAATCGAATCAGTCAATTAATAAAACGATCGATACATTTTATCCTTTACAAATCCTCTTATGTTTATACAGTGACCTTCAATAACCGTCTACCTTGAGTGGCTCTTAATCTCTTCAAGTCTGTGTTCAGCCGTTATCTTCCTTCTTAATCCTCATGATCTGCACTTTTTACCTCTACCTCTTACGTCATACAACAACCTCATTCAATAAAGCTCTACCTTGAGTGACTCTTCACCTCTTCATGTCTAGCGTTGACAGCTATCTGTCCTATATCTCATCATTAAATGCACTCCTTATCTCTTCCTCTTAAGCTCATACAACATCTTTCAGTAACCCTCTACCTTGAGTGGCACTTAAACCCTTCAAGTCTAGGTTTGACTGTTATTTATTATATATATCCTCATAAAATGCACTTCTTATCTGTTCCTCTTAAAGTCATACAACCTCATTCAATAATTCTCTACCTTGAGTGGCTCTTAAGCTCTTCAAGTCTAGGGCTGACTCTTATCTTTCCTACATAACCCTATAAACTGCACATATTAACTTTTCCTTTGCTCATACTACATCATAAAATGATCCTCTTGTGAACCGCTGTTGGACATTTTATTTGATCAATATTAGTAAAATAAATCTGTAATGTATTTTAACCGATGTTGGAAAATGTGATAACGAAATCCGAAGCACAGAAACACAGCAATCTGAAGAGTGCTGCACTGCTATGTGATATTAATACTACAATAATGTTGTTAATGTCGGACAATTTCATTACAAACAAATAGGAGATGCGAGGAAAGAGATGTAAATTTCCGGAGAATAGGGCTACAATAAACAATGTATATGGGAAACGTTTTAGAAAAATTGAAGTAAAATGCACACTTTTGCATACAATCAAAAAGATACATTTGAAATATTTGGGGTACAATATTTCAAAATATTGACCAATCACAGATCATGTTAAAAGCAAGAGTTTTCTTTTATGTACTTTCGGACGTAGGCGATTGTATCCCTTCATCTCCTCCTGTCTCTCATAACTATAAATAAGTTTTGTCTTTTTATTATTTCTCTCAGACCCTGTTCTGCTATCCACTTGCTCAAGCCCAATTAAGCATGTCACGCGTTGCTTTCCCCTGTCGTTTTATCCTTCCTGTGAGTATTTTCCAAGCCGGCTTTCCTCATTACGTGTCCCAGTAATTTTAATTGCCTCTGCCTAGTGTTAAGTATTAGTTTCATCTTTGGTTTCCATTCTGTCCAAAACCTCACCTTTACTCGCATGTTCGGCCCATGGTATCCTTAGCATCTTTCTGTAGAACCATATTTCTGTTGCTTCGAATCCCTTCATCTTTGAGGAGATTCTCTAACATTCGCTGTCATACGGAACAGGCTTAACCGGGTATTGAACTCACACTCTTAAGTCAGTGGAGAACTTTCAGAGGGAAATTAATAGGAGACTGACAACTGACATCCATTAAAACGGCACGTGGAACTAGAACAGTCTACCCCAGTGAGCGAAATAAATGGTTCAGTTCGACATTCCACCCACCCGAAGAAGACCGGAGCGTACAACGGCCGAAACCTTGTAATAAATATGGCGACAAACATGAGGACAATAGTCCGAATAATGTAAGTAAGGCTCAGGTTTCGTTGTTCTAAAGCATCTTTTATATTTCTATGTCACGTTGTTTTTCAAGTATATCCTATTTTACATCTATAATTATTAGTATGATTAATGTTATCTCTATCTATAAAAGGCAGGATGTGTGTGTGTGTGTGTGTGTGTGTGTGTGTGTGTGTGTGTGTGTGTGTGTGTGTATATGTCTGTGTAACGAATGAACGGCCGCAATTTTCGACGGATTTACACCAAAATTTACATGCACATGCTCCAAGTTAGCGGAAAGGCCAAGACCGACTTTGCATTTCCCAACTCCCATGAATAGTGTAAATAATCGATTTTCTTTATGCTTCTACGGCAGTTTTCATGTAGTTTGCGGCCATTTTGTACTGGCCAGAGTGAGAGCCTATAGCTAGCTGCCACGAATAGGCAGGAAGATTCTATTGGCCAGCGTGAGAGCCAACAGCTGACTGATACGAATGTTAACTAGCATGCTGCCATGCAAAAAAAATAATCGATAGCTGCATTCGTCACAATGGTTCATTGACTTGCTTAAACTCAACGTTGATTCTGATTCCGCAGAACTGGGTTGGGTGTGAAAAAGTATTTGTTGTTAACATTCTTTTTTCATTCGTTTCTTCCAGTTACAAGTCCTTTTTAAAAGCTGATCGTTTTGGGTTCATTTTGTTTAATTCTTTTTTCGTAACAGATTTAATGTTTAGTATACAGCTTAGAAAAAATTCGCAGTGTGAGATAGACAAGAAGTAAGGCATGTAGCAACAACAGCACGGCAAAGGGTACTCCTTTTAAGTCAAGGAAGGGCAAAAATATTTTAAGTCAAGTGATAGCGATTGCTGTATGAGTTGTACGATTTTTGGATCAAGCACGGGCAATGCCGGGCCATGCTGCTAGTTTAACATATTAAAGTAACGATTCATTGATTTGTTTTCTACGTTTTATCGATCTTTTGCAGGTTATGTAAAGTCAGAAAATATTTTTAGTTTTATTTGCGGGCAGCGATGAGATAATAATTGTTTAGTAATACAAATCTTACTAATTAACACATATCAGGGGGAGAAGAGATGGATTCATACCTTTCCCAAGAGTATTTGCATATAAGTTAATATAACAAACCCAACGCGAATAGAAACTAAGCTCTCCAGTTAACAATTCCGACCTCCTATCCATTACACCATCCGCATTTCAATACAAACTGTATCTGGTATTGTTAAGGAGTCACTAGCTACTGACCAGGCCTGCCGTTGCTTAACATCAGTTATCGTACAGGAACCGGTGTTACAACTTGATATGGTCATAAGCCATATTAAAGTAAGTATAAGTGAATGACATTAGAACATAGATAATAATGTAGTATCATTAACTATTTCCATAATAAACTCCGACGCGTCATACCCATACACTAAGTCGACTCATCCACGTTCAAAACATATACCATTTGTATAGAGGAAGTCTCACTCAAACTACTTCTTAACAATACTGTTTGAATTGTAGAACAGACTCCAGATATAATGTTATCCCGATCACTATTATATTAACTGCTTTAATCAACCCTTACTTATCCCCCATATTCTCATAATATACACAACTTTTTTCCATCTTTGCACACCGTCATAAAAATCCTTATTTAGTAAATCTACTTTGAATGGCTCTCTTGCCATTCAGTCGGCGAATAAGACTAAATTTAAAAAAAAAATAGATGAAACCAGTTATTTTTCTGTTGTTTTTTTTATTTCCTCAAGAAGTCACCGTGGAATAATTGATACTGCATTGAGAAATCGGAGAGCCGAGTTCGAATTACAGTCGAATACATTACGTTCACTTACATGCCAATATTCTTGGGAAAGGTATGAATCATATTCTTCTCCACTCCCCCTACTTATGGGTAAATAGCAGAACAGACCGGGTTCTATAGCCTTAGATGGCTACCGGTCTACTGCAGAAAGAAATGGCAACCTACTGCGGGAAAAAATCTGCCTCGTCGTCATGTATCGAAACATACATAATCGCCTAAACGTGTAGCACGCATGGCACATAGCTGATTTATTGTCCTCAAAATTTCTTTCACTAACAACATTTTTTCGTGAACTCAATAAAAATTTCTCGTTTCAACCCAGGACATCCAAAAAATATTAACGTTTCAACGGAATCATTTTGAAAGATTTTAGAAAGTAAATGTGGCAAATACCTTTCTACACTATATTGTAATTGTTCTCGTTTTAATTCTGATACTGATATTCTAAATACATTCTTGCCTTGTAAAATCCTCGGGAATTTAATAATGACTGACCTGCTGTACAGGATTTCCTCAGGCTGGAAAACTGAACATCATTGAGCAAACCACCTTGAGGAAGAGAAATACGTCCGGTAACATTTGTTCCCCCGTCAGTTCACGTCCCATATGACAAAATCGCACGCTTACGCAATGTTACCTTAGGGGCTAAGGGGTTGGAGGACAGGGCAGATAACTCTCGCACAATTCCATTCGTTTATCTCCGTCTTTACGCAAGCCCCAACCAAAGCCCTCACATTATCTTACTTAAACGGAATTTTCCTTCCTTTTCAACCCGCATATATGAAAGATTTTCAGCGACGATTCAGCGAAATCATGGATTCTTTTTTTTCTGTCGCTGCACATGTCATAGCGCTTAGGGCACCAGAGGAGAGCAAATTAATAAGGGCTTCCCCCATTTTTCCTGCTTATCCTCAGACGCCAGCGCTGCTTCCAAAAGCAAGTGACCCTTAAGTCTGGTCCAATCAGAAAGCATTATCACCACTATTGAACGGCAAGGGTGTTTGCTTTCTGCTCTTAAAGACCAATAGGTTTCTGTTGTCGTGACTCTCTTCGTCCAGTAAAAGTTGACTCGGGGATTTCAAAACCGGGCAAATCTCGTTGCATAAAGCTAAGTCACGTCATTCTATGTTGAGGGAGTTGGAAATAGGGAGACTGGTCAAGTTTAGGTGTCTTATAGTGGCCATTGACTGTTCAAGCCTTTCTTGGAATTACGCATGACCGGATGACAGGGTTAGATTCCGTAGGCTCTCGTCTGTTGGCAAGAATACAAGAATAATGGTAATGGGTGTGTCTGCCGTATAAGTTCCCACGGTGTAGCGGAGTGGAGTGTTAAATCATAAGAATTAGAATGCTATGGATTTAACGCTTTCTATTTTGATGGGATACTGATTAAACAAGAAAAATATGACAAGAATATTTGACTCTATTGAAACTGAAATAATTACGCCATTTATACTTGGTTCAACGGTCAGCATTTGAGCCCAAGAAGAAATTCAGTGATTCAGATGCTGGTTTTGTAAGTGCAGGAAATAACTTTGTGCCATTTTATTCATGTGCATTGAGATGATGGATAACGGTTTGGAATGAGAAATCAAAGAAACTAGTTCGAATTCTAGTCGGATTTGTTGCATTTACTCGCCTTTCATAATCCTTGAACGAATCCTTCTCTTTTCACCCACCAAGTTATAAGTTGAATACCAGGACAGCCGGGGTCCTATAGCCTTCGTTGCCAACCGGTCTACTGAAAAAAGAAACCGCAGAGATAGAGTGCGTGTAAATACATTAGTGAACACTGAGGTCAACACCGATGAGAGATAGTCTCATGTCCTGTTTTAACACAATTTTCAAACCTGAGACTGGGTTCGTGCACGAAGCAGACTATTAATACGAAAGATGTATGGCAAGGCTGAGAGTGTATTCGTGTAAAGAGCTTCGTCTATTAGGACTTCATCGGACTGGGTTTCTTTAGGTTGATACGACAACACATGCGCACAAATGTCTGACGATGAGAATTTTAAATTTAAAAATAATATAAAACGTTAGTCCGAGAAGACACAATAAGTTAACTTCAGTCATGCTGATGGAAGGCAAAAAGAGTTCTCTTAGACGATTAAAAGAAAGTAATTTAATTTTGGAGGTGTTAAAATTAACAAGCCATTTCTTGTTCAAGGTAACGACAGATCCTGGATCATTCTGCTGCCAATTGATCCATGTCGAACTGATCAGAATTCTTATTAAGACAAGAATAAATATTAATATTTATTATTTGTATTTATTTGTATCTATATATTATTTATATTTATTATGTGTTGGATATTTATTTCTATTAAATATTATTATAACATATTCTATATATTATATATTCACACACACACATATGTGTGCGTGCGTGTGTGTGTGTGTGTGAGAGAGAGAGTGAGAGAATATGTGTGCAGCTGATGTGGATGAGTTAGATAAGAACGGAATATGATGGGTAGATAGGTATATAAATTTTTAAAGCATTAAGAAAAATTTTGGAAGAAAGCTGTATAAAACAGTGTAAAACATTTTCATGCAACGCGTTTCGTCTCTTCGGACTTCATCAGACGAGGTTTGTTTACGTTAATGTGACTACACAAGTGCAAGAACGAGAGACGCTAGTAATTTCAAATAAATAAAAAGAAATTATGTGTTTAGAGGGTATAATCTAGTGAATTTAAATTTACACTCTTTTGCTGTTTGTTTTTGTTTCCTTAAACTTTCTTAATCTTTTTTTCTTAATCTCACATTATAACAGAATATCCGCCCATAATGGTGAGATTTTGTAAGAACTTGGACACAAATTTACTGCTGAGGAACGAGCAATTAAAGCGCTTCGTAAACATTTTCGTCTTCGTATATATATATATATATATATATATATATATATATATATATATATATATATATATATATATAAAGGCACGACTCCGTATTTCATGCACAACGCAATTTTCAGGTGCTGAGTAGAGACTAAACTTTACATAATTTAAATTTTATTAAAAATATATGGTTAACGCAATGTCGGCGCGGCCTGTATATTATACAAGGATTACTTTTTTTAAAAATCATTTTGTATTTAAAATAAACGGGATTTATATATTTATATTTAAAATAAACGATGATTACTATTTTTAATTTCGATGTCAAATTTTATATTGGGTCCTCTGAATATCCTTGGATAATTTCGTTATCATCAGCGAGTGACTAAAGTAAGATACATAAATAGCACAGCTATCTCCAAATATTGCTAGCAATTAAAGAATGGGTGTAGTACATCTATAGATAAGACGTATGTATTAGCTAAAACAAAATCTTAAAATGGGAAAGGCGATAGATGTAATTTGAAAAAACTTAAAATAATTAAATAACTCTAACTTATTAAACAAGTGAAATGAATTGATGTTCAAATGCAGACATAAAAATAAATACCACTTACAATACGTTGATCCAGATAAATTTCTTCTGTTCTCGTTTTTAATTTTATTCCGTGATTTTTATCTATTGTCGAATATCTATCACTTTTTATACACTTATAGATACGTTTAGTTTAATACAAATCTAAAACTAAAACGTTAATCCCTACCTCAGGATATATTGACGCCAAGTCGGACACTGTAAGTAACTTAAGGGATCAGTTTTTGAATGTATGGTAGGGAAGTTTGAACAAATAATGTTAACTTATATTATTTACATTATTCGGACTGTTACCATCATATTCTTTGGCATATTCATAACGAGTCAGGCGTTGTACGCTCCGGCCTTCTTCAGGTTTGGAATTTCGAATCGAACGCTTTATTTCGTCCACCGGGCTAAATTGTTCTAGTTCCACGTGTCATGCCTTTTCAGGATGTCTCAGTTATTTCCCTTTAAGTCAACTCTCCAAATTTTTACTCACCACTGCTGTCTCCAGGTATTGAACTCACAACGTTTTGGGTCTAGTTACAGGATCTAATCAACGTCTTTATCCACTGTGCCAAGTGTCCTATGTCTCCAAAAATTTAGACGAGCTTTTTTCCTGGTGGTCCGAATACATGAATTTAAGCGTTCATCTATGTCGCACCAGTTTACTGTTGAAATAGCTGAACGCAAATGCCACCTATTTTTCAAATATGTATTTTCTCGCACTTCTAAATTGTGGAAATCACTTCCGTTTACTTAATTCCCTGATAACTCCAACCTACAAAAATTTAAATGCAACGTCAATCGCCCTCATTTGTCTTCTTTAATTCTGTTAATATATGGCCCTTTCCTCAATCCTCCACTAACTCTAACATTTTCACTAACTTTAGCAGCTTTCGTAGTAGCGTCAGCCTTGCTTGGGCTGAAACGATTAAAACATGTTAGCAGTGCACTAGAAAACATTGCATGACGATGTCAGGCTGATTAGGTTCAAACATGAAACAGAAAGCCGACGCTGAGTATGGAATTCAGTGTTTACTTTTATATTTCATATGCACTTTACCACATAAATATAGCATAACTTAAAACTTGGTGTATAATTTCACTGTCAGTAACATTTAATTTAAAAGAGTGCTCAATACAAAGTAGAGCTAAATATTATTTATTTTAGGATACTAAATAAAAAAAAACAATTGTGTACCGATTTTTAACATGTATGTTTTTAATATCCTAAAATAATACACACACACACACACACACACACACACACACACATATATATATATATACATGAATTATTCACACAAAACTAATGCAAAGGTTAATGATTTTAAATGGCGAGACATCCATCTCGCAAACAATTCAAATATTACACAAAAACCTCAGATCCGTTATGAATGAATTGATCCTTGTTCATATAAATTTCTGCCGTATTAGTTGTTATTTTTACACAAGATTTCGTCTGTTCCTACAGACATCTTCAGGTATATAATAGATGTTGTTCTTGTTTTTTTCTCTTAGTAATAAGAGGACATCGAAAATATATGTGTATTGTATCCGAAATGCTATTGAAAATGAGATATTGGTTTTTGAACGCGCCAATGCAACGCTAAGTTTGATTTTGAATTTTTTCTTTTTTTAAAATGTTTGCGTTTATACCAAATATGTGTTTTGTGTGAATAATTCATGTATTTGTAAATTGATTGCACGTTTATTGTAATTTAAATATCTGATCCATGTGCGACTTTTGGTTAATAAGTGCGACATTACTGTAATTATTGAACAATATAGTTCATGCCACTTTGACAGTAAAATTTACCAGTAAAATAATTTGTTCATTACCATATTTGGTATAAACGCAAACATTTTAAAAAAAGAAAAAATTCAAAAATATTGCTAATTGATACAGAGTGTGATTAACTCTTTTATATATATATATATATATATATATATATATATATATATATATATATATATATATATATATATATATATATATATATATATAATATACAAATATATATATATATATATATATATATATATATATATATATATATATATTGTACATACACAGGCTCACATGCACATACACACTATCTGAAGTTTTCATTCTGTCTCTCACCCTCTCCCTCTCTCTCTCTCACACACACATGCATATTATGCCTACTCATTTTATGCATGCTGTGTCTAACTTATTCAATGAAAAATGTTTGAATGATGTTATCTCTCTCTCTCTCTCTCTATCTATCTATATATATATATATATATATATATATATATATATATATATATATATACATATATGCACGTGTATGAATGACATAGACATTTGCTTTTGTGCGATTTCTACAATGAACATTAGGCCATCAATAAAATAACTGTCTCAAACTGCTCATATATATATATATATATATATATATATATATAATTCTATTATGTAATTCTATTTTTTCTCTCTGTTTTTTTCCACAATATATATATATATATACATACATATATATATATATATATATATATATATATATATATATATATATATATATATATATA